TGGAAGAAACAATTTACTGTTTTTGATGTAGCTGTGGAAATAGTTACTGCTTTGGGATTGGCATATTCAATATGGAGGTCCACGCTCAGCTGCTTAAATTGGAGACAGAATGGAAAGTAATGCGCAATATTTGTTTAATAAACAGCTCAGAAGTAATCAACTGTTTGCTATCCTCCAAAATAAGAATATCTTGGGGTGTGCATCAGTAAAAGAAGAGTCCCTTTAAACGGTAAATTTATGTCTCCAAGATAACCTGTTTGTATGATGGAAAAGGCTTTTCCCGCTACAGCTTAAGCAGTTTGTGTGGATGTATCTTGTACCAAGATCATTGACTTTCGTCAAAGCATTTTTCAACAGATGATCCAAAACATTACCACATAGTTCGGATCCTATGAAAAAACCTATACCAATGATTTCAAAGCGGAGAAGTAGCACTACCTAAAAATATAGAAGTAGAATGAATGAATAAATTAATAGAAGAGGGGATTAGCACTAAAATACTTTCTGAATTATGATACTGGGCAAATTTTATAATGTTATGTAGACTCATTCGTTACATAGCATTTCATGTACGCGCACACTGTGATGTGATTTTTAATTTGAGAGCATGCTTCTTTTTTAATTTTTCGAGCCACCCTTTTCTCGAAAAGCAGAGCACTTTCTTTATTTATGCTCCTTCTTTTTGCTGGTCTTAGTTCCTCTCTTTGAAGCTAATCAGAGTTGTACTACCTCCAAATAAGGCTTTCCAAGTTCTACAGCTTAAGAATACCTTATTATGCACAATGGGAATTGACACCATTGCCATCAGATTTTACATCTAAAATGCTTGGAGGATTATCAGAACTTCTTTTTGAATATTTTACTACTTTGATAACAATCAGTTCACAAATATCGTAAAAGGCTTGCCATTTAAGTTTCAGAAAACGGGATGCGAACAAAATACATCAACTGCAAGTAAAGCCCTCGAAAATTTTCGACTGATTTTGAGGAACTTTTCTCACTTTTCCTGCAAAAAGAGTAGGGAAGTTCTGTTCAATTAAGTCGTCAACAGGGGATCAGAGGACGCCAACTGACTGAATCGCTGATTAGACAATTTTGAACGGGAGGCCTTCTTCAGAAAAAAAAAATGGAAGCGCTCTTGAATTTACTCAAGAATCGCACGCACGCACGCACACCGAACAATGGTCGCGCTAATGCATTCTGAGCAAATTCCACTCAAATTTTGGAGTTGGACGTTCAAGTTGAAGGTTATCTCTGAATAACATGCCAGTAATGGAAATGTCACCTGGTAAGGTTTTTTCTTTTAATTAATCTAGAATCTTCTTCAAATGTACTCAATTCAGCATTTATGCGTGGCATAATCGTAGACTTAATTAGTTTCCATGGTAGATTAATTTGTTTGAATTATAAAACTTGCAATAAGACCTCGGGAGGTTGTAAAGGGCAACGCTGTGTTAACGCTATCAACTGAAAGATAATTGTTATTGTGCTTCCCCTCTAAAATTTCAAATTTCAAGCAGTTTATTCGATTATGCTCTCACATTTCTGTTATAATTGCATCTTCGTGAACAAATTCTTTAGAAACTTTTTGGTTGTGGTGTTTGACAGAACTGCACACGTCTTTTGAAATACTAAGACCCCTACTGTATTTTTAGGCCTGCTTCTTGAATTCGTGTAATATGATTACGAATTGTTTAAAAGAAGTAGGGACTTTCCTAGGGCAAATTTGGTGAATGGGTTTTATTAACGAATGCGCCTTATTCTGATGCGGTGCAGCTCAACCCAATGGTAGTCGAAATGTGATTTATTTGCCGAGTTCTTAAAGTGGGCAGCGATGTTAGGAAAGAGTTGAATTGTGCGCATTGTAATGCTACGTTTAAACAACCTCAGGGTTACAATCACACTTTAATGGTAAAATAAAGTATGTCATGGAAGTAATAATCGAAAAATTGCCCTCTTGAGGAAAGTCGACCAATTCGGTAATTAACATTCCATTCTACTATACAGTGTTGGATGGTTCACTATCACAGCGGAAAACAAATAGAAAAAGAGGTTAATTCTTGCGAAAATCGAACAGCGCATCGATAAATGAAATGTCAAATTTAATGACTGATGTGATTACAAAACCGATTCGCACGTAGAAAGAATTTTAGTAGCCACGGTAGTCAACACAGCTCAACACCACACACTAGTTATGTCTGACATAGAAAGAACACAAATTTGCAATCTAGCCGAAATTGTGTAAAGCGAAAAAGGGGAATAGCAAACTATGTCAGGACTTCTCAGGAAAAAACCAACAGACGTTATCATGATAAAAAAGCTGTTTTACAGATACCGGGTGAATTCAGCCATAGCATCCTGTGAAAAATGAAAATCACCATTTCATGTGATGAATTCTCTCAGATGGGCTTCTCAATGAACGAATATAAGGTTATATTTAACTAATCGTTCCTTACAAAAATGGTTTATTTCTATCCAAAGGTGTAGAAGAAAATCAGATTTACTAAATCAACTCAAATTAAATCAAAACTACTCCTATGCAAAATCAGCTATTCTCATATTGAGTACCAAAGCAATGAGCCACTAAATATCAAGACACATAAGTTTTAAATTATATCACTCCGTTTGCAGTCAGTTTTGGTGCTTCAAGGCAAAGTCCTGCTTCCCATGAAGTGAATTTTGAAACAGCTTTGACTAATCCAAACGACTGGAACAAATCGTTGATTCTGCTTAGAGCATTAGTGAAATTCCTGAAGATTGCTGTGTGCGTGAGTTCTAATAGTAGATTCAGGTCCTGCAAAAGTTAGATTCATTCTATCGTAATCTTTGGAAAGAACGAGTTAATATTCATTTAAAGCCGTAAATGTTGATACCTTTGTAGGCTGTGCGGCAAGTTGTCTGCTGTCATTTAGCACAAGGACCTAAGAGCGATGCGATGCACTCCAAGGCGGGCAATACCTCGCGCAGATCCATCATCATCAGTGTTTTAGCTTTCAATGTGATTTCACATACGCTGAGCAGAGAGGTAGCATAAACAGAAGGGCGCTCTAACTCTGGTATTTTCCTCGGTCCTAACACACATGTCACTTGTAGTCACGATATGCTACCCTGGTGCTCGAAAGGGCTTTTCCTCCAGAAAATGCAGCTGCCATCTGTTCATGCAGATTTCAACGAAATTTGAAATCGGCAGAGCTCCAACTGCAAATACGGTTGCCGATTAGATTTCCGCTTTAGTTATAATTAACGCTCCCACTTTTAATCTTGGGCATATCTTATTTCACTTATTAACCTATTTACATCAAATGTTGTGCATCACACTGCCATTCTCTCCGGCAAAATGACTTCTGAGCAGACATTGATAGATGCCAATTTAACATCTTTTTGACAACTGACTTTGGCATGCGATTAGACATTCACAACAAAGTAAAGACACTGCATTTTGATGACTTTCTACGTTAAATTTAGCGAACACGCACAATGTTTCCTCAATGCTCGACCTCGACTTAGTGACATAAGCGAAGTAGTACTGTCCTGATGACATGGTCATAATGAAGTTATGAGGCATAAAGTCCAACTTTCTTCAAGCCAAAATGACTAAAAATGTATTTCCACGAAATCTCTCCTGATCATTGGAGCAGAGGTACACTGAAAACACGCTCTGACCCTATTTAGCTACTTTAAAGTCGGATCTTTGGGTAGTTAAAATTGTAGTGTGTAAGTAGACTAATTCATTGGTTGGTAGCATATGTCATCACAAATCCATGAACACGGTGAAATGGCAGCATTAGTAAATATGAATTACATTTGTGCAATCATTCGAGAGGGCACTTTAATTATTCCGGAACATTTGTTTAAAAAACTGAGACGTATTATTCCAATGGGTTATTATTATCGGTTTCCAATATATTGTAAATCGGATTGATAATAATGTATGCATATAGCAGACCATGGATACAATTTAGTTTGTAGTAGGTCACATGCTACTCAAGCACCGTTTTGGCTATGGCTTCCATCGGAATTTTGCATTATACCACGTGCTGACACTTGTATTCTTGGAAAACAATTTGTAACTTTCCCAGAAGCATTCTATTCCAAGCGTTTACGGTACATTTCGAGGATTATTCGAAATGCTATGACCCAACACATATTCATTAAATATAAAAACGCTAAAACACGATTTTGTTATTTAAGACCTGCGACAAGGTTAGATGTAAGTCAATTTGTTATTAAAAAATTAAACCATGAAGGCCAAGATGAATGATGGACCAGATAATGGGATATAAATTCTGCAAAAATGTCCGAAGCAAAATAAATAAACCATCATTGAGGTGGCCCATACCTGCTCCAAGAAAAATAACGACTGATAGTTTAAGTTACGATGATTCGTCAAATAATCAGCATTTCTAACATGACAAATAGTGAATTTCAATGTTCTAGGTGCAATCGGCATTGTAATGCTAAGTCGTGCCTTTGAAAAGAATCGTAGCTAATTGAAAAAACTGCTTAATTTTTAAATAAAAATTAATGCATGATAAAAGCTCTCATTCCAAATGGGTGGTTGACCTATGAATTGACTAGAAGCGGCTGCAGCAGCACCGAGAGCTAATCTGTTTCATTTGCTCAACGGTGCAAGGATTTGGCATTCGGGCCCCCTATTTGACCTACAATCAAGGTGGAGTCCCAGCAACTCACCAATAGTTGTTATGACGGTCACTGCAAATAGAATGGAACCTTCCCAACTCCATTTTAGATCGTCCATTGAATCCTCACCATTCCAGCCCTCGTGATCCATCATTTTTACAAGTTTTCGAAGGCTTCTATGAAGCTCTTGTCGAGTCTTATGCCGCAGCGTATACGCGATAACATGCAGCCACTGCCTTAGACGGGCGAATTCACTTTCCGTGTGACTACCAAGTCCACGGCGTCGGCGAGCCTTATTTTTAATTGCGTTTTTCCTAGCTCCGATTGTTTTTTTTGAACTTTTCTCGTTCATGAGTGAGGGTGTATAGTACTTTCCCTGCCACGTATTGAGCGACGATATTTGATAGCGAAGCTCACGAATGATTTCACCCGAAAATTGGTCAGCCAAAGCGGTTCGCAGTTCCTTTCCTTTTATTTTTACCATTTTCTCATTTTCCAACTCAACGGCACGAAAAATCATGCCGCCGATGATGGTGTAGCCGATAACAAGAAGTGAGAGACCGATTTGCGAGAAGAGGAAGGCAAGGAAGCGCTTGAACCCTGCGCGAATTTCCTTTAGACGGCGTCGATGTTTATAGAGTTCCGCGGAGTAGGTCTCCTTCTCGAGCACTGTGGTGGGCGGTTTGCGCAGTGTGACGGCCGAGGTGGGAACCACGCCGATCAGCAGACCAGCGCCCTCAATTGTCTCGCAGACGCGTGAGAGGAGCCAAGGTTTTCGAGATTTCGGCATGATTTTTTCCTTCTTCAGCCGGCAAGGGCTACACGTTGAGCATGCTTTAAGGAATCTTTGCATACACCAGCAAGAAGGGTTGCCTTGAATCCGCAAGAAAAGTGACAAAATCATTCTTTTAGCAGATTGGCTACGCATGTTGAGAATACAGCCCAGTGACCGTGAGCCAATCACGCAGAAGTGAGATGCCCGAAAATACCACGACAGCGCGATGATGCGGACTACGATGAAACGACCTGTGAACAAACCGTGGGAAGAATGCATTGACTATTCACATTTTTCCGAATGCGAGTGAGGTCAGCGATATTAAGTGTTGGAACACAACTGTGTTCCACCTGAAATTGTACCAAAACTGCATCTGAAAGTTAAATAAACATCACCCATTACTTATCTGCTTTTCGAAAAAAGTTATAAGCACTATAACTGATGTATACAATCTTAAACAGACGTATTTGTTAACCTTAGTTTACACCTTCCTAACGAAATGATTAGTTTGAATATCATGATTTCACTAAATAGTTGTGCTTTAGCAAAGTGCTTGACCTTTTCAATGCTCCAGCTAATCCAAGTTTCACGGCATCCAGTACCTCAGTTGATGATGGGCTTACCGACGCGCCTTCAAGCGAAAGACCACGCATGCTGCATGACACACCATACAGACAAGTGATTAAAAGTACGGAGGAATCGCTTTGAATCGTTCGGTAAAGCAGCACGGACGCAATGCCAGCCAGCTTTAAGCATTTTCAAATGCCGATTTAAGTGTTACCAAATTTAGCCGTTGATATCTCATAATCAGTACACAGGCCTCAACTCAGACAAAGTCTGTCATAATTCCCGTTTCAGTAGGAAAATATTTACCGAACTTAGCACTATAATTACCTGAAAAAAAATGAACTTACCTTTCTATAATGAGACCAGGTTGCAAAATATAGGTAGCTTTGAGGTCCATTGGAAGGGACGATTCATTCTAAACAAACCAAAGTAGCCTTATCGTTTTAGCACGAAGATAAAAAGGGTAACGTAGAGACGATCCTGAAGATTAAAAGGGCTTAGGGACGACCCCTGAAGGTCATGACTCCTTCCTCAGTGTTCTAGGTAGAATGAGGCAGTTGCATCAGATGGGAAATATGCTTGAATTTTTCGACCGCTACTTTATCATACTAGGTAAGGAACAAACCGATAAGTCATATGCGTTAACTTCATGTCCACTTTAGCACTTATGTCTTCGCACCTTCAGTGTTGAGAAAAAGCTCTACATTCCAGCCTTCTTCTGAATGCTAAAGGGTGAAAATGAGAACTCAAGATTTCCCATTAGATACACCATTTAATATGAGGAAGTCAAGCATATTCACACTTTCAACAGCACAGCGTTTTATTCGTTGTGAAAACACTACGTTGAGGTTTATCAAGCACTCAGAGAGCAGTGATATATTACATCGAAATACTAGTCTGAAGTTTTCGTTGATGCGAAATTCATTTCCAAATTGAATGCCTTTCACTTTGGATTTTTGTTAAGAAATAGCTTGTTTTTGGTCCTCAAGTGCAAGAAGCACTTTAAACTACCTTAGAAGCTTACCTCACAAATGGATTTTAAGAGTTGGTAGAACACTACAATTTTTAGCAGCTGATGCAATCAAACCCGTTGTGAAAAATTGTTTTGGGTTCTTTTTGTGATAAGAAATTCAGTAAGTTGATGTTATCGATAAAGCCAATCATACGTCTTTAAACAATGTAAAAAAGATGGAGCGAAGTCGTCTCAGTGAAGTGTGGCTTTTATGGACGCTACACAAATAACAGTTCGGTACTAAATGACTGCTTCCACAGTCTAATTTGTTTACCTCGAGTTTCCACAAAGTCGGAGGTGATATGCGTGAGGCATTTCACTTTCTTAGATTGGAGCTACTTCTCTCCAAAAACAAAGGAGGTATTCTCAAAAGAAGCACGAAAATTATGCTAAATTCACCCTCCATTCTTAAGGTTTACTTGACAAGCTAGCTGAACAGGCTTTTGCCTATTTCTGCTAAGCAAATGCGTTCTGTGACGTCTACTCCGAACTGCCTGAGGCACCACATATTTTAAGACCATTGTCATGAGGGTCAATCGAAAAAAGGAGCTAAAAGGACCAGTAAATCACTTCAATAATTCCTGTATACCGGATGCACACCGGTATGCCTCAGATTCGATTACTTTTTCCCACCGCCAGCAAATAACGTAGACTTTTTGTACTAGAAGTACATTCTTCGCGTAAAATACACGAATAAATCTGTCTGTTCATAAGTAGCTATCATTTGAACTCCATAAAAATGGAAATTTATCCCATACTTCGTTTTGAACGTATTTTTCACCAATTATAGGAAAGCATTTAGGTATTTCGGTAGGTGTTCAATGCAAGTTCAATGAGAGACTTTTGCTCCATTGTTAACTTTTAATTTAAAGGCATTGGACCGACGCGTGAAAAAGCAAATTAAATCCGGAAAAAATGGTCCATAAAATTTTATTATCTGTGGGATTCATTTGGCTCACCGTTGTAATTTTTAACGTGCATGCGACGACTTGAAGGGAATGGGGTTTCATAAAATTAGATTTTCCAGAGAAAGCCTCCTCAAAACCACCGCCTTTCCCATCTTACTAAATAGTGAACACACATGTCCAAAAGAAGCAACGAACGAAAACCCACTATCGCCTACAAAACGCATTGTACTGTTGATCGGATAAAGTATTTTTACAGTACTTTATCCATAACGGTTTAGGTCGATCTAATCTGGAGGGATCTATCGCACTTTAACTATAACTCATAGCTTTAGTTCTAGAACGTCTTGAAAGTTGGCAAACCAAAACCTTGTTAACTTTATATAAAATTTAAGCGATCACCATTCTGCTTCGCGATTTTCGGAGGCGGTTAGAAGTCAATTTGGGTGCTAACTTGAACACACGCTCAAAAATGATTTTCAATCCCTGGTCATGCTTATTGTCAGTAATGAAGAATATCGTAAAATCGACGACAGTTGCGTCAGTCAGCTTCAAAATCTAAAACTACTGACAACACGACAGTGAAGTCAAGTGAATTAATGAACTGAACAGAACAAACCTAAGCCTACAGGGGAGTTCCAGCAGGCACTACTTACAGACCAAAAAAGCTCTAAATAATAGTGATTTTAGGTGAAACTTTTATTTCCTTATCACCATTTAATGCCGCAGCAGAATAATTATGAGAAACAATTAAGATCAGTTTATGGATGCTATTTGCATCCCACTTGGCGACTAAATGTCGCCACTGCGTACGAATTCCCAAATACGCATGAGATTTTGCAAAACGCAAGTGACAATGCTACTTGAGAAGCTAAAATAATGACTGAGGATTTCAGCTTTAGCCAGTAAAATGTAGATTGTTTTGTGCTCCTTCCACATGCCCACATCTGACCCAGCGATTTCCCACAAATCCCCATCATTTCACAACTATAACTGCCATGTTTAATGTTTCTGGTAAGCTTAATCACCTTCCTTCATCTTATTTCAAGATGACGCAGGAGTTATTACACCTAATCTGGGAACGACTGTTACATGAGTTGCCTAAACATAAGCCTGCTGAACACTAAATACACACAAACCTTCAGTTGTTTATTGTCACTCTCCATGCTCTCCAACTGCTCCACCCCGTGTACTCGCGGGTCCGCACAAGCGCTCATTACGGAAGGCGTATGCACATTAAAACACTTCACACAAAGTCAAGAATCAGATGTTGAGAACCCAAATTCGTCCACCCTCCTTACAAAGTTCAGCAAATATATGCTCAGCAATTCGGACCAAAGCTCATTAATCCTTGATTCGTAATGGTTACACCCAACGCTTCAAGGCCGAAAAAAGCGAATCGAAGTTACAAACATTGCCAAATGCAAACATACTGAATTGAAAAAAACTGCAATCAAGATGCATCCCAATCACTTATGTTACGTCTCCAAAGTTTTCAACCCAAATTTTGCACCAGATCACGTAGCCATCGAACACCCGAATGGAACGATTAAACTACTTTACAATTTTAAAATCGGAAGAACATCTGCAAGAAGATTTGTGAAAAATTAGCATCACGACAATATGCACAAGTGTTATCAAAAATTTACACCAACAGTGGTCCCAAGAGTACGCAATCAGTTGGAATATGATACAGCACACATAAAGGGCCACAAATCAGAAGTGAAGAGTTTGACAAGATTAAGAGCAGAATCTAGTGTAGATCCAGAGGGTGGTGGAGGGAGAAGAGTAAAGTAAGGTGAGATTAATACTTGCTGTTCCGCCAGTCGAAGTGGTAGAGGGCGGCATGACCGCTCGCCTGCCCCACGACCAGGTAGCCGCCGTACGGACTGAATCCCACCGCAGTCGGCACGCCAAGTCGCCCCATGCATGTCGGGAAGTTGGAGCACACCCTCTGACCACCTAAATCGTACTAAAGGAGGCACACAGTTTTTTAAGAAAATACGTATTCTGCAAAGCGGTTCCTGTACTCTACAGTTGCCAGTTAAAAGCCCTATCTTAAATCGCTTTTTAGGGGAAGCGCCATGAAGAACAAAGTTCCTTTACGGCCTCTGCTAAGTTGAACAGTCTACCAAAACGTGACTCATAAGCACTCTGACACTCGGCAGTTGCTATCTTAACACTGTAATCAAACTGTTATAAAAATCATCACGGTCTTTAGACATAAATTTTATTAAAAAAACAGCTAGACAGAACTTCGATCTTGATAAATCGCCAGTTGTCCATCATCAAGCAGAGATGTTAGATACCCGTAAAAGCTATAACAGAAAAGCGTCGTAGTACAAGCATTATGTTAACGCAAAAAAGGTTAACCGCAACTTTCCTTCGGAGCGGTAAATTGTACAATTAAAGCGCGATCCTTCTTACGTTCCATGAATTATAAAGCTAACAAAATTTTCAGAACAAAGTTATGTAGCCGTATTGAAACACAAACAAGGGAATTTATTTTGAGCTTTAATAATTTTATTTGCGTATAACAGTGTAAGTTTAACACAATACTAACTTGAGTGAATCAATGCTTATGGTGTATAAGCGAGTAGCGGTGCCGTTATTAGTAGGTGTATTTCGTTATTATGCGCGCATTCCAGAAAGCACTCTCAAACCCAAATAAGCGCTTGGACATAAAATAATATCAAACACGTTTCACCACATTATCATTTGGGATCATCAAAAAGCATTCGCAATTAATTCCATCTCACTGTTTCGTGGAAGGGGGCATAATAAAAAGCACATCAACAAGTGGCAAAGCATAAAGCCTTGCCAAGTCGTAAAAAATAAAGCGACTTCCCTATGGATATCAAATGTGCATTCAAGCATATACGAAACCACCAATCATGCTTTAAAAAAACTCACAGCGAAAACTTAGAAATAAAGTCCGGAGACCTTTACGTTTTCGACGCTGTTCTAACACGCACATTCGGCAAGGTAGAGCCAATCATCTAACTGATAGTCCAAATCAGTACGAGTGGAATACGCAACATCGAAACCAAATGAAATGGTTTTAGGAAATTCGTCAAAGCAGGCCATTTTAGAATTGCAGCCAAATGTCAAGGGAAGCTGATGTAAATCTTGACCTTTGGTGAAATCAAAACATTGTAGAAAAAGGGGTGCAGTAGTCGGTTAGTGGTGGACTCACCAGCCTTGCAGCTGCAGATTGCAGGGAGGAGGCCATATAGAGCATCTGGTTTGAAGGATGGAAGAGAAGTTGATCCACCGCGGTGGTCAAGTTCCCCACGGACTTTAGCGGCTTCGGACACCTTGTCGCGTCATTCATCACCGCCTCCCATGCGTATACGTTCACGTAGCCGGATTCCGAGCTGCAATGGAAGAGCAAAACAAACGTCACATGGAGTTGATTTTAAAAGCGAACTCTTGCTTTCTCAGTTTTATTTCACCATAACATTAAGAATGAAAAAGGGAGAATATTCCCTTTCGCCGTGTTTCTATTCTGCTTACAATCCAGCAGATCGACATCATATATTCCAGTTCTCTAGAGCCAAAATGACGAAAAATGCTCTTTTACAAAATCAGTAGAGTTCTACGTTTTCTTTTTCGGGAAATTTCCAGTAGAATAGCCTTCATGCATTTTAAATGGAGAAAAGAAATTAAGTAGAGTCACTTCAAATTAAAATGACAAATTGTGTTTTTACAATTATTGCAACTTCAGCTTTGTATTATTCGCATTATTGATATCGGAGCTACTGCTATGCCCATTAAAATTTACGCGCCCGCTTCATACCATTGTTTCCCATTGATTCTGCATGAAGAAAGTTCGTATTCACTTCTAAGAACCCAACTTTCGAAGGCGCGCAGTGTGGCCCCAATATTGGGTAAGTTGTGCGTTAAGCTACGATTAACGGGTGACATTCCCATAGTAAATGCGAGTGAGTGACGAATCAGTAATTTGGAGGGAGGATCTCACTACTGCATGGTCCGTGAGCTTTGGCACGCATCATGCATACACCAGTTACTTTATTAGTTAAAAAAAAAAACGGATGTTGAATTTTATCAAATGATGGCAGTGACGGGCGGCGACGTTTGTTGGGGAGGCACACAACACAGTATACAAAACACGAATGCACAAATTTTAGGCAGGTAAGCGAACGGTTAATATTTCTCTGTGAGGTCCCTTCGGAGTGAGAACTACCGGCGTCGACCCATACATCACATCACGGTGACAATCGAAGGAGTCATAAAAGAGAGTTGCAAAAGCCCTTTCTTCCGTGTGTTCTGCACTTTTTTTCGGGAGTTAGTGCATCCTTATTTGTATAAGCCCACAGCGAAATGTAAGTACCAGCATAAGAAACGCCGTTCATCAACACCTAAAACCTGCCGAAATAAAAAAAGGAGTATCGCACTATTCGAAATTCCCTAGCAAATTACCATACAAAGTATATTTAGGGGAGTCCAAGATCAAAATAAAAAACAGGTGCATTACAAGTAATCCAAGTTATTCCCTAATAAGAACTATTTTTCCCAAAATTCGTAGATAAATAAACAATCGAAAGGCTTGCGTACCAACAAATTTCTGTCCACTTTAAGACTCTTTGCCTTGTTTAACGTTAACTTCGAAGAAAAGGATGTTAAATGGATTAATCCATTATGCGATTGCGCGCCGCCGAAATGTAGCTTTCCTTCTTCTACTGAGCATTGCAAGGCATTCTCATTCATTTTTCTTGCACCCTTGTGGGTTGTGCGGGTGCATCTCAGTACTACTTGCCGCCTTATGGTTAAATAATGCGTTGCAAATCATTCCTCCATAATGCTGGGCCGCAACTGAGCACAAGAACAATAACATTTTCGCCGAATGTTAATTTTTCAATCAAAGAAAAGAATTATGTCATACAATACGCCAAAAATCTAAACTCCTATTTTAAACGTTTACTGACAGATGTTTTAGTGCATGAGGTTAAGTAGGGTTAGAACAAAGTGGAAACCGTCCTATTAATCGCTAATCGAAGCACTTCACATTAGAATTGGTTAATCTTGATAGAAAAACCAGGCCCCAAAATAATGCGGATAGTTAAGTAAGTTGGTTCTTACAGAGTTATGCATCAAAAGTTCTTTCTGTGGTGTGGATTTGTAATTTTTGCAAAACATAGGATACAATGTTAAACTCTAATTCAATCATAAATCCCTTCCCCAAATCCCGTACCCAGGAAATGTAACGAGTCTCTTGTTCAGTCATGGTCAATTACTTTTGCGATCGAGCGTAAAAGGGATGGGGGAATAAAAGCCGCTACTAAGAGCTAATAACCATGTTTCCTCTATGAAGAGTAAAAGTCGTAAAATTAATTGTAGTAGTGAGTAGATAGGTGATAATAGGTGAGTGACCTGATCTCCATAAGGATGATTTAAAAGCATCAAGAAAAAGTAGGGTTCACATGCTCAAGGCTCAAACTAACAAACCATGGCACCTCGGTGTAATCATATGAAAACGCCATTGGCCGTGGGGATTGTGATCTGGCTAATCTCATCGAGATGACACCCCATTTCCTTTAATCACATATCCACCATAAAAAGTATCCATCAAAGTTATCTTCATGGAAGCAATAACAACGCTACGTACTTACAACCAAAAGAATGTTCATCACGCAAGTCATAGGGGATAAAGTGATACACACAGGTGTGTCATCAACTAAAACGTTTTAAAGGACACAAAGGTTAATGAAGACAGTGGAGCGTATAGAAGATAGCACAAGCCATATTCTGAAAAGCGCAGTTGCGGGAAAAACACACCAAGATGTACCGCAAGTTTGTATAGAATGGTGATTGTTCAACACCAATCATTTAACCAAAACCGAAATGTAAGACAATGCGACCTCCCGCCAGATTATCGCATTTACCAACTCCAAACCAAAGGCCTGGAAATGCATTTCGTTTCAAATGCGCATTTAGAAAGCCAGCGCAGATCATTATAAAAACTCAATATCTTCTCATATCACTTATTTCGTGCAAAAACTGAATTATTATAACCTGTTAGACTTGGATACATTGTCGAAAAGACTAATTGGAAAATAAGTCCACGATAGACCTTGTAACAATCTCGTAAGGTTTTGTACATATAACATGACCATCGCAATAGCAATCACAAATATCAGATTTTACGCGGCACACCCTGCACACGTCAGTAATTTGATAGCCAAACTAGCTTCTGTAATAACGGAAAAGGATTTAAACAAAACTTAGACGCATCACACGGCATTACACAGTATGAAATCAGACTAACCAAAAATTGTTCAAGCACCAACCTCGACTCATTGAAAAATAGAAAAGACTCTTAGGTCATTCAAAACGGTTGCGGAGATAGAAATGGAGATGTTTATCAGACCAACGTTCAACTTACCCACAGGCGATATATTTTGAATCGGCTGAAGTGGCAAAACTGCAACCGCCCGTGCAACTGTAATCGTTCCATCGATGCATCGGACGCGCATTGTGCCGTAAATCAAACACAAAGACGGATCCATCGCCTATTTAAAGAGAAACACTACTCAATCCTCTACCATGCTAATGAATCTTGCAGCAATATTGACACTCTGTTATTTAGGAGCATCACTTTATCTTAAAAAAACTTAGAACAAAATAAGCCCTGTTTGAACAACTGGAAGACTTCATCCAAGATCTATGTAATAATATGTTACTTGCATGAGAAAAAGTTAACGTTCACAAAAGTCTTATATGAATCAAAGATTGTGGTACTGTTTCAGCACTTGTGAGAATTCTAAGAAATCGAAAAACCGAAAAGTTTTGGGAATTCACGAACTATTTTCATTTCCAAGATTCATCAAAAGCCGAGTGCCATATGCACAGCTAACCAGGCAGTCCTGAATGGCTTTTAGACAAGTACACAAACAGTAGACATTTAATTAACGGAAAAACAACTCAGCGACGATCTGTAATAAATCACATTCATAGTAGGATTTATCAGAGGTCATAGTACATAGAGGAACACGTTCCAGGACCGCGAGACATGGAGTGTGTCTAAGGATGAATAAAAGCCGAAGTGCTTCCTGGGCAATAAAAGCCGATGTTGAGGGGTCTTTGAAGTGTGAGGCTGTCGGTAGGAGCGTGGGAATGTGCGACTACGAGTGCGCGCGCGTTGGCGTACTTCAAGGTATTTCCTCTAGGATGCAACCATTTAGGAAAAATTTATCCCTCTTTCAATGGTCAACGAAAGACTTTGTTTTAGGCCATAAAATTTCGTCCCAATGGAGAAAACCATAATAGCCCTTAATTTAAAATGACCAGACTAGGATTTTTGAATCGAACCTGTCAACGAAAACAATTGTATCACTAATGGATCCGACGAAATTCTCAATGCGTAAAATTTAGGATCTAATTACAAGGAAAATTCAGAAACTACTAGAAATGTTAAAAATTGACAAAATCAACTTGCATGACCTGTTGAGATGTGCATGATTAAAATACTAGTGAATAATTGAGGTCGGTCCATTATTTTATAGGATTCGTCATGGCATGTTATTTCATTAGATTTTGAGGCTGTAAGAAAGCGCCCAAAGAAATCATTGCGTCTTGGAACCCAATGAGCTTAGTCCAAAAGTACCCTACTTTAATGAAGACTCATAAACAGCTAACGAAGTAGCCTCGCCAAACGATGAGAAGTAAAACAATAAGGGCAAAATACAGTGACCGGAGGTTGGACAAAAAAGCGTCCTTAGACAGAGAATCTCCAAAATAAGTCCTAGATCATAAATTACTGTTACCTTAACACAGTCAAATAATCATAATTGAAAAAATGACCATGGCATCGGTAAAATTCGTAATTTGCGAAAATGAGCATTTTGGTCTAATTTCTAATTGGAAATAGCCATCAGCAAAACACTGGAATAATAATGAAGAGTCGACATTTGATAGACAATGTGCTCTGTTCGCATTTTCTCTGACTGAGATGAGGAATGCAAGAGCGAACGTGCCACCCAAAAGGTGCACACGAGTGTCTGATGTTCAGTTGATAGAGGTAAAGCAATAAACGCTTCACTGAGTAGTCTTTAGGAGATGGAGTTGATTGAAGTCAACCTCTGCTTGAGTTGATACTATTGTAGTTTGCAGCCACATAGGCATTGAGAGTACTTTCACGCGAACCGAACACCGTTATCTCACAATTTTGATTGCTTCCCATACTCGTAAAAAGAGAGCGTAAGTAGGTTACCAAAACAGGGAGTAAAAAGGATGGGCAGTCGGCTTTCTTTTTATTCGAGCACTTGTCCAAAATAAATGGTGTAGAAAAGTGCCAAGTCAAGTAATTTATACAGTGAGACTTCAAGACAATCAATTGAAATCTACGTTTAGATGAAATACAATCAAATGTAAAAAGTTAGTACAACCAAATGTATGAATGTACACTAGAGACAGCGCAAAAAACTCGATTGGGAATGGTTTTAGATATTCAATATACCAGATGAAAACATTCTTACCTACTGCGAATAAGGTGATTGCAGTAGAAATACGGAAACATTTACGGGGGTATGATTTTAAGTACCCTGACCAACCCTAGCCAATCGGTTTCAGACATTCCGATTAGAAAGACGAACCTAAATTGGTTGGTGAGGCAAAATTTTAATGTAGCCGAGACAAGTATTATAGAACCAGAGCGCAAAAGCAATAGTATAAAAGTCGAAAAACGAACTCTAAACTGAGTACGAGACGTCTCGATTGAAATATGACGTCCTGAAAACCACTGCAATCGGATCCAAAGAGATAGGAGATCATTCTCCCATGGGAGATCTAATTTGCCTTTTAAGCTATGCAAATTAAAACAAGCAGAGCGGGGAAGGCAATGCTGAAAAACCAAAGGTGAATTAGGTTAAAAAGGTAAATAATTTCGTGGAGAGCCCTAAAAGCTTCTCGTGTTAGAACTACAGAAATGTTGAGTGAGACTTAAACGTCGCATAAAATCCGCTACCAACCGTACGTAACATAATCTCACCTGCCAGGTTTCCTGATTTAGACAAGAAAAATATTCTAATATGCTAAAATAGTGACCGAACCGCAGTAAAGTACGTAAATCATGACACATAGATGAAAGACATTTAAAACCGCGTCAGAACCCCCTTGCACACTAGATAATACTATTCGGCCCGCTTAACAAAGGAACTCTCACAAAAGACTTTCAGCAACAAACGAACAATTCTGCAATTCCTCTATCCAAATACTGAACAAAACTCATGTAACAGCCTGAAACACTCCAGTGCATAAATTTGGTTAATGTTAAGTACAACGCCGAACATTAACAATTTCTGTTCATTTTAGCTTTCTCCTAGCTATAAAATCGTTCCGAGTCAGAAGTGATTTTGAAGGCAACACGCGATCTCCGAATGTTCTACTTCGCAATTTATAAGGTCACAACATATCTTTGATAGGGAATGAAAAAGGTACACAATATTAACACGAACTACATTTGCAACATCATTATTCGACCAGTTTCAAATATTCCGAGTGGAAGTTGTGTTTAAAAATAGCATGTTTAGATTTAATAAACAGATTGTTGCAAAGTTAGAATGATGAGCAAAATTTGTGGGCTTAAAGAAATTACTGGAAAACTAGACGGTGTCAAATTGGAAAAAAGATGCCTCTCATTTAAGCTAAGGAATGAAACCTACTTGCTTGGTCTCGTGATTACTTGGATCATGTTATGTAGCCTTTTTCAAGTACGAATGTCACATGATTATTACCTTGCATTCACTTTAACAAATTCAAACTAAAATAAAGGTCGGAACCCCGAGGGGACATTTTTGTTTTAGAAAATTCACATTCATGAATGCTACACAGAAGAGGACAGGAAGCAAGATTATTTTCCAAGAAGTGGGTGCAGGGATGCATGGGTTTTTAAGCCACAACCATGGGAAGTGTCTGAACTGAAGTTCATGTGATGAATTTAACCCCTTCAGTGTCATCAACTTAAGTATCGACAACAAGTTCCAAGAATACAATCTCAAGTCATTTGAAAAATAATAAAATCACTAAAGTGGCAAAAATGGAATTGCCTGCGCAAACCGCAGCTGCTTCAATGAGCCATAAAAACCAGGCAAGGTATGCATGAAGAATCGCAACAGCGAAGCACTCACTTGAGAAAGCATTGAGAATATCACCGTGTTGAGAGAAGCAATGCGACACAGCAGTCCCGCTTACGCGAGCCGTTGTCGTCTTTTCAAAGCTCTAAAATTAACAAACGATAAGAGCAAGGATTAACTTTGAAGAGTACAGGAAAAGTACAAACGAAAGCGTCTCACTGGAAAGGTTCGCCATTTTAAAGCTAAGCCCAGTGTGCACAAAGGCCCTCTTTATGACATCTCAAAAACGAATGCCGCAAGCATTACGATTTCCAAATAAGTAGAATTCGCATAGGAAACAGAATTAGGACTGAAGGATAAGAAATGCAGAATAATCATATTAAACCTTTATCAAAGGTTTCCAAGTTCAAAACTCCCTCCCATTTATTTAACAATGCTTTCACTTCAGGATTTGTCTCAAAATGCGTCAAAAAGTGCGATTGCGAGTTTAGGCAATGAGAGAACTAGTGATGAAATACGAATCAGCACAAAGAAGCCAAGTGTTGCCCTCGATTTGCCCTGCATAGAGGATAGATGGTGTCACACTGGCTTTTGGTTTCACAAACCCAACAATAGCCACGCACCTGGCCGTAATGCCTAGTTCTTCTCGAAAATGAAGATAAAGAGATAGAAGTAAAAAATACGCGGACCTCATATTTCCCATTCAAAGGCGTCAGTGTATGGTGATATTGAATAACTAACTTTAGCGTTAATTTCAGATATGAAAAGAATATTGTAGCTGAGTTCAACTACAAGAGCGCGAAAAATGATACCGATGCCAGATGACAATCGGGTCTCAACATTATGATAATTCTAACATTGTCTTGGGACCAAAGTTAGCGGAGAATTACGATTAGTACTAAAGTCAATGAATGAGTATGAAACCACCCATAGAGAATGAGTGAACATTTATTACCGGCATACCTCGGTCACCAAAATTTCTAAATTGCACTCTTTACAGAAGTATGCAAACTGTGCTTCCAACGGCATGTATGGTATGAAAGACAGTATGCCACAAACATGGTAAAACAAGTAGTCATATAAAGTTAGCGATACGCCCATGAAATAATTAGTTGGAAATGAAAATAGCTGGTGCGAGGAAAAGAATAACACTGCTAATGCACTAGACAGTAAAAAGTAGGTCCAGTTGTAAACAAGGGGCCAATAATAAGATGCATACTTACGCGAAGATCAACAAGGTAGATACCACCAGTCCCCGAGAAAGCAGCAACCTCACTTGTGGGAGACATTTGCACAGAATTTATCCTCTCGCCATAACGCGTACCAAGGGGAACAGCTGGATGTGATTCTTTATTGCTAATCAGATCGTACACCTGAAAAAAGGAGCGTTACTTTAATGTCAGCAGTAACAAAGTTATTGCAAACAAAATTTGGGCACATGGAATGCAATAGGCCAGAGAGCAACAAGTTTCGCAGTCAGAATTTTATTACAATTTCGAGGTGAAAAATTCTAGCCTCAGAAAGCAAAGTACTAAAACAAACTTGTTTCCAAATAAAAACAAGGATGACATGAAGTAGCACATTCCTGTGCACCCAAAACCAGAAGATAAAGCTGTTTCGCGAAGGGAAATACGTCAGATTCCTACATTTCTATAAAAAGCATCAAGATAAGTGTCAACTCCTTATATCATAAAGTATTATTCCAAAAAACAAGCTTAAAGACCCACTTTAAAGTAATTTCTTTCTCCAGTAAGGACAACCTTTTCCCCAGTAGAGGTGAATTTTGCCGAACTTATTGGGAACTTCTCGAACACATAATCCGCCAACAGACGGCTTTCCGACTTCCCTAACTGGAAGTAAACAGGTGTTACACCTATATTAATGCAAACTCTTACGCTGAACAATGCCATTGTAGTATCAACACTTGTTGTCATAACGATAGGATGGGTCCGATTGAACTCAACAGATGTTAAATGACCGCAGGAAAGCCGCTCCATATTGGCGTCGCTTAATCGACGCATCGGAACATCAGCATCCAAAGAACCACGATTGTTCTCACGAATAACCGCGTATAATTTCTCGGCACTGACCGTATCTGAAGCCGCCGATTCACTAGCCCTCCTTTTTCGCTTGCGATTTAAATGCGTGTGGATGTCAAGAACGGCGGGTTGACTGGAAATACACATACATAAAAGTAGCAACTACCCTACAACACTCGTGTTTCTGTGATTATCAGCGTTTTCTTGGTCCACCCAAGCTGGACTAAGTAGGATGTCTTCTTCATTCCTTGGTACTTCAAGAGAGAATTCAACCAACTTCGGCTAAATAAGTGAACAAACCACAAAAAACCTCTTTAGGGCGTTTTACAATTTCGAACTCCGGGTCCTCTTTTGATGGACTTCCCGATGTCATGGAACAGAAACACAGACCTAGAGTACCAAAAACAGCTTGTCACGTGAAAGATACATCAAATTGGCCCGCCGTTTCCGTCAAAACATCAGAACAATACGGTTGTAATGAAGAAGTAAAATTGTTAGCAAATAATACTTGCAAAAAAGTTCAAAAAAAGAGATAAAATGACATTCTTTAAAATCGTTTTAAATCATTTATTCTAAAAAGCTTTGCAAAGAAGAGGTAGAAAAAAATATAAAAAATAAAAGCAGGGTTGTAGGGCCTTTTTCATTTAACTCTTTTCTGGTATTTAAACCTCTCAAAAACAGACTGAACCGTAGTAGACATGTTTGTCAGTCAAAGCTAACGTGGATGATCACAGGCTTAGCAGATTCTAAGTTCCCATATCTTTTCTGCCTTGGAGAAATCTGATAATACCTCGGCTATCAGATTTGTGTTTGCTAAGCAATATAAACATTTGAATAACGCAAACTCGACAACTGTTGCTAAGATATATTAGTTTATCATGTTGTATGTCAAGCTAGGCCGGTTTTTAAAAATATTACACTGTGGCCCTTGGAAAATTCCCTGAAGATGATGTAAGCCATAATACTTGAGCAACACATGAGTCTGTGACAAATAGTGGAGGCAATGGCTACTGACATGGATCACTTGGCGATGGTTCAATGGTAGGAACACAAAGTAGTCGTTTACAAAACCGTGAGTTAACCAACCAACATGATACACAATCCCTCCCCTTTTTTGATCGTTTCCTGCTCTTCTCTTCGTCAACACCTGAAACATACTACAATATATCGGTGCAGTAAGGAAACAGTCAGGAGCCAACAGTCACATGTACCGAATCTGAATGTTACTGAGTAGATACTGACCAACCTAATTGATCTGGGAAATCGTCATGTAAAGGAAAAATATTAAAAACAGAGGAATGAGCTGGTCAAAGCACGTTTTCGACTAATATTATTCACCTGGGTTTGCTTTCAGCTACGGCAGATTTGGCACCCTGAGACTTCCCTTAAGACAAAAGAAAGCATTATACTTGAGCAGACTACACACATACTAATAAATGTAGTAAGACCTAAGACTACCAGCATGGCCAAAAGCTAACTTATTAAGTAAAAGTGCAATGGTGGAGATACAAGTTAGCCAATTACAAGTACCGAGGGTTAATCAGATGAGGTAATATAGCATGCCATCCCTTTATTTTGTTTCCTCTGGCCTTCATAACATTTGAATGCCAAAGCCAATCAGACTGGGACATATTTGCTGCTTAAAATTAATGAGAATTGGCACAGGTGTAAAAGAATGGTGAGAATGATGCTTCTCCTGTTTGGAGGGATTCCGCCAACCCCTCTTCCACGAGACTCGAGCTGACTGCGCGCTCCCTCTCTATATTTAGGCAACAAAGGTATTACAGCATTACTGTAATACTTGTGTTGTTTCAATGTGCCTTTCAGGGAGGAGGCAATCAGGAAATACGAATCTCGTGACCGGATCGTCTTCTCCCTTACCTTGTGACTGCGGCTCCCCTCCTTCTTGAATATTGTATTTTCCCTTATCCATCTTGTCACCTTTAATAAAGATGTCCAAAGCGAATCAAGTGGGCTTGTCTGGGAACGCTAGGAATAGGGAACCGGAGACCGAGGAGTCTCACTTCACACTATAATGTCCTTCTAAATGCATTATTTTGCTTAGCGTAAGTTAAGGAAACAAAACAATCCCTGCAAGGTACTTGTGCACATTTGTGTTCCAAATTTAAAAAAGTGCTTATTTTTATCTTCCAGAAGCACTGCTGAGCAATAAGTTAATCCAAAGTAATACAGTGCAACAGGGAAGACCGCTATTAATCACATACGGAACAGTTGGGCAACTCTCAGAGTGAGTCAAAGAGTACATCAGGCTGTTAAAGTACATTCTGTAGGAAGTGAGATTCCCAAGTAAGTTGACGCACAGTCAAACATGTTTATAAAACATCGGCATATTTCAACAGCATATGTTGAACAGTTACTAAAGCTAGAACGGTGGCTTTGAAGTACAAATCAAAATGCGAAAATAATTGGTAATAAGAAAGAACTGCAGTTTTTTGGCAATCTGATATGCCACTACCATTGGAGTTTACTTGTAATTACAATTTTAGTCATAGCTCGGAGAAAACTACCACAATTACAAACAATTAGGAAGTCAAAATTGTATGCATAGGCTTTTGAAATTGAATCTCTTATGAATGTATTTGTGTTAACAATTTTGAAGCTGAGGCATTTAAACTTTAATACCATACGAGATTGTGCAAACTCTGACCCTGAGCCTTTTCAAACACCTTCAGGCAAAATCACGCACTGTTTTTGAGACATAGGCAAGCCTGTTTTCATGCAAGTTCTTTCTGCAAGTTTTTGATGTTTTGGTTGTTTTTACGCCATGAATCTGCTATAAAGATGCTTTTTTGTAAGTGACTCCTAGCACATTGTTTTCACTCCTTGATTTCGTACTGTAGGCTTATAGTCCTTGTTAACTTCCATCTCATGTCTTCCTAACACACATTTTTTGGATTTCTATTGTTTTGTTAGGTTTTAGTCCTAGTAACTAAAGTAAATAAACCAAACTGAATATAATCGAAGCAATATCTCACTGAACCTGGTCTACTATCTGTAATGTCTCCCATTCTTGTTGACCAACTTTTTGGCTACTTGTTAATATCATTTTATACAGTATGATAAAATAGACGCATGTAACTGCAGGCAATTGGACCTATGTATGTTTGACTTTTGGTTTTGTTGCTCAATTTTATATGTATTAATCTTTACTACGTATTGGTTCGGTACGTTTCTGTTGTATTGTAGAGTCAAAATTTTAAACATCTTTTTTACAAGATGACACAACTCTTACTTGGTGTAACCTGATCTTTTGGACAATATCTTACACTAGTTAGCCACCCATTGGGTAATTTTCCCATTTTTAAGCAGCAAAGCACACTTTACACTTATTTGCTCCCTGTATTTTTAATAAGTTTCTCCTGGAGTTGATGCACTGCTTGCTTGTGTGTTTAAGGTACTATAAACGGACCATCTTTAACACGCTTTCGTTGAATTTACTTTTAGGCTTAAAGTGATACGTGGGTAGACCTTAATCGCTTTAATACAATTTTACATTCCTTCTTTTGATGTTTAACCCTCGATAATTAACCTTTGCTCATTTAGTTTCAATCGGAATGCATAATTGGAAATTTATTTCTGTTAGCGGTACCTAATTACTTATACGTAATGGTAATGTAAAGTACCACTTGTTGTGTTATTTTGATGGTAATGGGCTGATTAAAGTTATTTTTCATTATCACCGCTACTTTATCCTTAATTAACTTTTTATTTACTGTACTTGGGCTTAAAAACATCATCGAATAATTTGTTTTCCTATCATTGTATCTTTGTGCTATTTGCAGAATCAACAAAAAGAAGCTACGTTGCTAGCATAGAGGCGCTATGAATGGCTAAACGCTGCGCGGCCTTCCGCAATGTCAGCTTTTAGGAGAATTCTCTTAATTTTTCAAATGAGCTTTTCTACGTTGCTTAAATAATTGGCTCAACAGTTCGATAGCACACCTTAAATAACTTCTTAAAGTAAAATTTTGAAAACATCAAACAATTCATTTCCACAAAACTAAGTTTTTAAATTTCTTGAGCTGTAAAATGACTCAATATTTAACGCAAGAACTATCTGATTAATCTATTTACAACACTCGCTTTGATTGTCAACGTTTTCTTTTCTACAATACTAATTTAGGCGACACTTTTATTTGTTGTATTAGTAATCTATATGGGAGGATCTAAGCACTAATAGCCTTTTGAACTTTTGAGTAAGCATATTCTTGTGTATTATTTATAGGTGTCAGTGATTAATTTGGACTGCAAACAAGTATATGTTTTCTAACCTTTTTGTTCACAGATATAATTCGGGTTTACATAACAGCCGTGACCAATATGTTTAAAACTAAGCATGCTCATTAAGACTTATTCTCAAGTTTATTTGCAAAAAGTCCTTCACGGAAAACATTGATTACAAATTTAATGCGATGACGCAATTAGATAATCTGTCATCTATCGCATCGGAATCTCGAATTCGCGACTCGAAAATGCGTTTTCAGAAAAGATGTTTGGTTTCAGTTGTATTTTTATAATAGTAGGTTATTTAAAGTAATCCAGTTCTGTTAACGATCATGATAGTGCATTTGAACAATCCATTTTGATGATTTTATTGGTTTAACGCTTAAGGTTTCAGCCAAAAACTTTCTCCATTGTACACGCTCACTAAAGTTGTTCATAGGTCTACAAATATTAACTGATGTAATGCTAGTGAGGATGTTGAGCGCTTTTATGTAAAAATTGAAAACAGATACTGAAGTAAACATACTGCATTGGCTTACCAATATAGTAAAGCATCTGACAGAATCACAAATATCTCCAATTTTTTTACATATACCATCACTTCTAAACAAGCCGAACTCCCTATTTGCCGCAAATTCCGAGCCATAAAGATGCGTCATCGATTCACAAATCTATCCATTCTGGCTGTTTTGTGAATTACAAAGGTGGCTGAGGCGATGTATTGTCGTTATGGTGGTGGCAGCTCTTTTCTAACCTCAACAAAGTAGGAGACAGAGTCCTTGTAATACTAGAAGTCAGGGATCGAGTGCTTTCTTGCAATGTGGTAGATATTTGGGTAAACAAATAGCAGTCTTGCGTGCAACCATCTTACGCGATTTTATCCACTTGGAAGGGGGGATTTGCCCCAAGTTTTTCTTAGAGATTGCGTGCGTCTTTGCAGTAGACTCAGTGAAACTCGAAGCAGCCCCTGGAAAAGAGCGCTACATTATCCGTTAGATTGTATCTGCAAACTTCATGAAGCTGCTGCTTCCGAGGGCTGAGGGACTGATAAAAAGAAATTACTATCATCGTCATCCCCATCACCAGCAGCAGTACAAATCTGGCCGTTGCACGCCTTTACGGTCAACC